TTGAGTGAAACTGGTATGGTTGGACTCGTAATTGAATGGGTTATCGGATTTCGTAACTTTCTCTGGATTTCTGAGATGTGGGCCCCGCGGGTGAATTTTTAATTAATTTCGGATCTTTTTTTTAAAATGTAGTATTTTCTTATAGAATTGATTCCTATATTATTTAGTGATTGTATCGAATTATTTTGGCTAGATTCAAGCCAGACGGAGTTGGATAATCGTGGNACTTAATTTATTAGTTGGCTTGCCTAGCTGGAGTGTTGGGCGCCATCACGACCTACAGGTGAATTTGGGTCGTGACAAACATCAATTTGATACTTGTTTTTTAAAAGTTATATTTGCTCAAGATGTCAATTATGGTATTCTATAGTTTGATTATGCTTAGTCATGATAAAATATTAAATATTGTGGCGATAGAGTGAACTAGTTTGTAAGATTCCCTTGAAAAAAATAAGGAAACTAGATATGTTTTTTGCCATGCTCTGAATGAATACATTTGTATAGTCATTAGTAAAGTGTATAAATTATAATATATATTCGTATTCTGTGATATACTCTTTCTAGTTTCTATCTATAAGTACTCTTTTTTAGTTTATTTTTTTGCTATATGTATAGGTTATTCTTAATGGATAAGAGTTGGATAAACATATTGAATAGGAATGATCCTCTATATGAGAATGGAGCCAAAAAGTTTCTTCACTTTGCCTCATTAGATAGGCCTAATGCATCTGAAATCTTGTGTCCATGTCGGAAGTGTCGTAATATGAAATTTATCCCGAAAGAGTTGATTGTTGAACATATTGTGGTTGATGGATTTCTACCTAGTTACGTTAATTGAATTTTTCATGGTGAGACATCATCTTCATCAATGTCTGTGGATATATTAGATAGAGGTGATGAGATACAAGGCTTGGTGCATGATGCTTTTGGAGTTCTTCCTACTAGTGACTTTATTAATATGGACACTCGTGATGATATTTTTGGTGGGTCAAATCAACATAATGTGGGATTTGATAAGAAAACTGAAAAGTTTTTTAACTTATTGAAAGAAGCTGAGCGTGAATTATATCCTGGAAGCAAATATTCACTTCTTTCTTTTCTTGTTCGTCTATTACATTTAAAGTGTCTCAATGGGTGGAGTAACAATTCATTTTCCATGTTGTTAGAGTTGTTAAAAGATGTGTTTCCTGAAGGTGAAATATTACCTAAGTCATTTAATGATGCAAAAAGAATTATTAAAAATTTAGGACTCGAATACAAAAAAATACATGCGTGTCTAAATGATTGTATGATCTATTGGAGTGAGACAAAAGATCGAACTGATTGTAAGTTTTGCAAAGCTCCAAGATACAAACAATTTGTAGGTGAATCTGGTAGTTTGGAAACCTCAAAAATTCCAGCAAAGGTGTTTAGATACTTCCCATTGATACCGAGGCTTCAAAGATTATTCATGTCATCTAAAACATCTACTGATATGAGATGGCATGCAGAAGGTCACACTAAAGACGGGGTAATGCGGCATCCTGCTGATAGTATTGCTTGGAGAAAATTTGATGAATTGCATCAAGATTTTTCTCAAGATCCTCAAAATGTTAGACTTGGATTGTCTTCAGATGGATTTAATCCATTCAAGTCTATGTCTATCTCACATAGCACATGGCCAGTTGTCTTGGTTCCATATAACTTGCCACCTTGGTTGTGCATGAAGCAACCATACATGATATTATCAATGATTATTGATGGCCCTCATGCACCAGGCAACGATATTGATGTCCATCTACGACCGTTAATTGATGAGTTAAAAGAATTGTGGGTTGGTGTTGACACTTATGATGCGTCAAAGAATCATATGTTTCAAATGCGTGCTTCATTGCTTTGGACAGTCAGTGATTTTCTAGCACTAGGTAACTTATCAGGATATGGTGTGAAAACTAGATATGCTTGTCCATGTTGTCTGACCAAGACTAAATTTCTGAGATTGAAATATGGGCGAAAATATTGCTTCATGTCGCACAGGCGTTGGTTACCCCATGGGCACAAGTTTCGAAAAGATAAAGTTTCGTTTAATGGTTTTAAGGAGTTAGAGGCAGCATCTAAATATTTGTCAGGTATTGAAGTTCTTAAGCAATTGAAAGGTATTAAAAATAAATTCGGAAAACATCTATCGGCCAAATCCAAGAAAAGAAAATGGAAGAATTCTGATGATGTTGACGATGCCATGTTGCAATATTTATGGAAGAAAAAGAGCATATTTTTTGAGTTAGACTACTGGAAAGACAATATGATTCGTCATAATCTTGACACAATGCATATTGAAAAGAATATGTTTGACAATATATTCTGGACATTACTAAATGTTGACAGAAAAGGAAAAGACAATCTGAATTCTCGTTTGGATTTACAAGAGATGAGGATTCGAAAGGCTTTGCACCCTAAAAAAAGAGCTAATGGCAAATACTATCTACTTCCGGCATGTTTCACTTTGAGCAATGTACAAAAAGATATGCTCTTACAAGTTTTAAGAGATGTGCAAGTACCAGATGGATATGCTTCAATATCCATCAAATTTATCACATTGTGTTGATCTTAAGCAACGCACTGTGCATGAATTGAAGAGTCATGACTGCCATATTTTAATGCAACAACTCCTTCATATTGCTTTGCGACGTCTCCTTCCAATGAATGTCCTTAAGCCAATGATCGAATTAAGTAATTCTTTTAGGGGCATTTGTTCAACAGTTATGAACATAGGTGAATTAGAAAAGCTCCAAGATCGAGTTGCAATAACTCTTTGTCATTTGTAGAGAATATTTCCTCCATTTTTTTTTGATATCATGGAATATCTAGTCATCCATTTAGCTGAAGAAGCAAAGATTGGTGGACCTCCAAAATACCGTTCAATGTGGGCATTTGAAAGGTACCGTTTCATTATTCTTATTTATTGTACTTATGAACTATTATATTGAACTATAATATTATTTATTATTTTAGGTACTTGCTTACTCTTAAAAATTATGTGAGGAGTAGAAGCCATCCAGAAGGTTCAATTACAGAGGGATATTGGATAGAAGAGTGCATGACATTCTGCTCAAGATATCTACATGATGTGGAGACAAAGTTAAATCGACCTTTAAGAAATTATGGTTTGTATAATGAGATTCCAAATCAAGAGGGTCGTCAGTCAACTAAAATTTACGGGTTTACGCTTGATGACATTACTCATGCCCAAGCACACCGATATGTTTTATTTAATTCTGCTACCATAACGCCATACCGCGAGTAAGTATTCAATAATATTCTGCTTTATAATTAATTATTAAGTAATAATATTTATAATTTCTTTTATTAAGTTTTTATGTGTTTTACTTTTGCAGTGAGCATATAAAAGAAATCAAGAAGCAAAATNTTGGAAAGACAATATGATTCGTCATAATCTTGACACAATGCATATTGAAAAGAATATATTTGACAATATATTCTGGACATTACTAAATATTGACGGGAAAGAAAAAGACAATCTGAATTCTCGTTTGGATTTACAAGAAATGGGGATTCGAAAGGCTTTGCACCCTAAAAAAAGAGCTAATGGCAAATACTATCTACCTCCGGCATGTTTCACTTTGAGCAATGCACAAAAAGATATGCTCTTACAAGTTTTAAGAGATATGAAAGTACCAGATGGATATTGTTGCCCTCTTTCTTTGAAGAATCAAGGGTGTCACAAGCCACTGAATCTTAGGAGCTTTGCTCGCCTTTTTCCCGTTTTTGGTAGTGAAATTTCGGCAGTAGATGTTGACATACTTCCTGATATCATCTTCCTTGGAAAGGTTGAAGAGCTTTCTCATCTTTGAGGCATGTTCTTATGAAAAAGCATCACAACTCTTCAGGCTCTTCTGCAGCTTACACTTAATCATGGAGTTCTATTTTTTAAACTTGTGTTTGACGATGATGGTGGCATTCTTGTTGCAGCTGTGAAGAAGTTAGCTTCTTTTTTCTTTTTGTTAATTGATAAGATTCTCATCAAGCATGATTTTACCCTCCTATATAAGGTATTTAGCCTATTGTAGAACCTGGAAGAAAGAGTAAGTTGAAGACTCTTGCCTACATGAGGGAAATAAAGATCTATGATTGAAACGCCATCATATTAGGAAAAAAAAATTATTATATGACTTTGTCCTGTTTTTTTATATCTTGTATTCACAATTTTCTAAGTTGTAAATTTTGTAAACTACCAGAGTAACCAATCTAATATTTCTTCTCAGGTTAACATAATCAAGAAGACTGGAGTTAGTGAAGTTGGCACCAAGAAAAAGAAGCGGGTAAGTTTGAAAAAATTACAAGGTTCTTGTTCCTCCTTTTCAAAGGGAGAAACCCTTCATGTTATAGTTTGCAAAACTTATATAACATTCATTAGTTTTTATCTCAGTATACCATTTGCGGAAACTAATATTTCAGAATTCAACCCTCCCATCTCCCACCCTGTTTCTGCCTCAGTCTCAAAGAAAAATTAAAACTAAAAGAGTAGGGAATGGTTTTCTTAAGTGCAAGATGAATTGAGAATAGCTGAACATTTTCTTTTCCTTGATAAAGGGTGAAATTGTAGTTTGTATTGAACACCATTTTTCTAATATAGAATCGGTGCTGAACTCTGATATGAAAGTGCATTATTGACTATTGATATAGCATTTGTTGCAAAAAATTTATTATTATCATAGAGGTAAATAGATTCTCCTAAGTGAGCTATCTCATTTAGATTTTGTTTCAACCTTTCTTGGACAGGTAGCTTTATGTGTGCTTACTTGTATTTAGCTTTTTATGCCTGATCGTGTTTATATTTATTTAAATCTTGCAGAACCTCCATCGGGTGGAGTTATGTTTTCTCCCTTCCTCTCACATCCCCCACAACCAAAAAAATATCAACTGCATTATGATATTACAATATTTCAGTTGTTGTTCGGTTTGGGCGGTTGCGTTCACTTTCTTGGATTTTTTGCTTTATATTATTTGTTTCTTTCTCTCTTCAGTTGCTAGTATTACATTGATTATCAATTTGTTTCTCCTTTAGAATATGAATCTGTTATTATTTTTGGTATTTCAATTGTTTTAGCGGAGGAAAGAATTCACTTTATTATAAAGATATAATTCTTTTTTTTCTTGTGACTTCTTGTACAACATTCCTGAAGGAAGCGATGTCAATTACTGGGAGTGAAAAGCTTGACTTGTGGAGAGTTGGTTTTATAAGATTTAGTCTAGAAGTTGAGAAAAATTAATTCGAATTAGGAGTGATCTTAAAGTACTTACACATTGATATTACTATCTTTTATTATTTAGTTACATTTGAGTTTTACGTGAGAACAAATCATTTGATTTGACATTATCTATCTTGTACTAAGTACGTTTTATATTGCTACTTTGTTCTTTGGTTAACTTAAGGAAAAAGATATTTGCTTTACATTTATTTCATGTTTGTTATAAAAGTTGATATTTGTGAATGTAAATGTGTTCATGATGAAAATAAACAAAGCATTATTATTTACATTCTAAAAAATATGATACCGACATTAATTTAAATGTCAAACATTTAATGCGACATTTTACTATGTCATAAAAGATATGTCACTAATTTTTTTAATGACATTCACATAAAGTGGAAACGACATTTTATATATGTTGTGAATTTTCTTAGTGGCATTTACCAATATGTCGGAAATTTCAATACGACATTTTATGATGATCATACGTAAATGTCGTATTTTTTTAGTAAAATTAATCTAATTGTCGAAAATTTTAAGTGACATTTCCTATATGTTGTAAACTAAATATCGTAACATTCTTACCGATATTTACCTAAATATCGTAAATTAAATGTCATAAATTTCTTATTGATATTTACCTAAATGTTGCAAAGTGTCGTAAATTTCTTATAGACATTTACCTAAATATCGTAAAATAAGTGTCATAATTTCTTATTTACATTTACCTAAATATCGTACAGTAAGTGTCATAATTTCTTACCGATATTTACCTAAATGTCGGAAAATTACCGACATTGAAATTAACGACATTTGATGCAAATGTAAATTAAATGTCGGTAAATAAATTTGTGACATTTAAACAGCTTAATGCGACATTTATTAAATGTCGTCATATCTCCACTTTCTTGTAGTGTACGTTGTCGATGTTGCTCAGACCATTTGTCGTTTCTTCCAAGTTAGATGAATTTTGAGATTCTGAACTTGATTTTGAAAGTTTGAAAGATGCTTTAGGATAATCTATTAAAATTTAAGTTGAATTATAAATTAAAATATCTATTTGAGAATCCCGAATAATTGAGTACACTTATAAAATAAAACTATTTTAAGAAGTTCTAACAAAAAAGTAAAAGAATTAAAGAATAAAAAAGTAACAAAATAACTTAATTGACCCCAAGATTAAAAAAGAAACAACAAAAGTAAAAGTGTGTAAAGCCGCTGAATGAAACAATCTCCAACGAATGTTCTATCCCTCGATCTTTCGTAAAGAAATCAAGCGCTATACCAACTGGCCAAGAAGCGCTTGATTGCAAATGATGTCACACTTAATGATTTTTGTAGCTTATATAGTACTTTGCAGATTATTTATATATACATTTAACAAAAATTTACGACGACCGCTTCACTCTTACTAGATCCGCCCATGTATGCATGCATGCTGAACTAAACTTTGCGCCTACAAGAAAATAAATTTTTATACCACGTGATCCTAGGGTTTGAAACTTATAAGCTTCTTTTCTCCCAAGCCAGAACTATAAATAGAAGTTCTTTTGTTTCCAATTTCACCATCAAACTTTGCAACAAGAAAACATGACTAGTTTCAACAAGTT